GGGCCCCGTGGCGCGGGCTCGGCGGGGCGAGCGGGAGGCTCGGGCGAGCTGGCGCTGGTGCGGGATGGAGGAGGAGGAGGAGGAGGAGGAGGAGGAAAAGGAGGAGGAGGAGGAGCAGGAGCGGGAACACGAGGAGGAGGAGGAGGAGGAAGAGGAGGAGGAGGAGGAGGAGAGGAGGAGGAGGAGGAGAGGGAGGAGAAAAGGAGAAAAAAGGAGGGCCGGTTCGTGGTGAGGGAGGGGCCCGACAGTAGAGCAGGCCCCGCCCCATGAATGTGGCGCCGAACCATGTAAGGTAGGGCTCCTCCTCCTCCCTCCTCTCCTCCTCCTCCTCCTCCTCCCTCCTCCTCCTCCTCCTCCTCCTCCTCCTCCTCCTCCTCCTCCTCCTCCTGCACCTCCTCCTCCTCCTGCACCTCCTCTTCTCCTCCTCCTCGTCCTGCTCCTCCTCCTCCTCCTCCTCCTCCTCCTCCTCCTCGTACTCCCCTCCTCCTCCTCCTCCTTTCTCCTCCTCCCCCTCCTCCTCCCTCACCTGGAAGCCTGTGAAGCTCTGGAGGGAGGCGTCCGACGGAGCCTGCAGATCCTGCGGGGCTCGAGCTCCGCCGGCCCGCGTCGCGGCTGTCCAATCCATGGTGGAACAGGGGCCCCGGAGCCCGACAATTCGAGAGGACAGGAGAGGGCAGGAGAAAACGGGGAAACCAAACTCGGGAGCGGCCAAGAGGGGGGTGTCCAAGAGGGGGGGGTGCAAATCATGACCGGCGGCATGTGCGCGGCCCAGCGGGGGGGCCTGGGACGTAATGAAGTAAGAAGAGGCGCCATGAAATCTGAGGAAACATCATGGCCCGCGCCATGAAATCCACCCCCCCCTAGTCATCACCCCCCTCTTTTCCGCTCCCGACAAACGGTACCGATACAACTACTCCCCGGAACTCTCCCGGGGTGCGTCCTGACCAGGCTTTCGGGGCGAATCCAGCAATGGCGACGAGGACCTCCCGGGAGACCCAGACGCGGGAAAACGGGCGAAGGGTAGCAGTATGGGTACTTGTTCCTCCTCTTAGCAGAGGGAAGGCGGGTGATCGTGGGACGGTTCGGAAGGTAGAGCAGGTCCCCCCCCTGGGACCCCGAGCTGGGTAAGATGCCCTAGAAAGTCTGCGACCCCAGAGAGCAGAGAAGCGCCAGATAACGGGCAGGCGGCGAGCGGGACCGTCCGAGCGAGATCCCCGGAGCTGGTAACAACTCTGCGGGGAGGCTTCCTTGGGGCCCAGGGAGACCAGGGGGCTCGAACTTCACACTCCGCCTCTCGGCCGTCGTGTCGATGGTTCAATATGGGCAGGAGAGAGAAAGAGAGAGAGAGAGAGACATATTTGACTCTATATCTGTATCTATATCTATACACGTAGCACCCCGCAGTTGCGGATAAGAATCAGGGGGCGGTGAGGACGTCGTCAGTCTGCGAGGCTCTGAAGAAGCCCGCCGCAGGCACCGATCTTTACCAAATCATACAATGAGCGGGGCGGGGCGCGGGTGGGTCACGGGGGGGGTCGCGGGTGGGTCGAAGGCTGCGTCGCGGGGTGGGTCGCGGGGTGGGTCGCGGGGTGGGTCGCGGGGTGGGTCGCGGGTGGGTCGCGGAAGGGTCATGGGGTGGGTCGCGGGGTGGGTCGCAGGTGGGTCGCGGGCTTGGTCGCGGGGTATGTCGCCGGGTGGGTCGCGGGGTTGGTCACGGAGTGGGTCGCGGGTGGGTCGCGGGCGGGTCGCAGGAGGGACGACGACGACAAACAAGACAACAAATAACAGCGGAAGCAACAACAACAACACCACCCAACAGCAGCAACAACAACAACGCAATAAGCATAATCCGCACCACGGATCCCAACTTCAGCCACGCACCCAGGGACAATGATTGACCGTTCGGCCCCCTCACTCTGATACATATATATATATACATGTACATACACGTATATTGAGACAGAGTGAAAGAGAAAGGACTACAGAGAGAGAGAGAGAGAACAAACAAAACACTGGGAAAAAGCGAGACAGAGAGAGAAGGAAAGGGGAGGGTGACTGAATCTGGGAGGGCCCCGAAATCAGAGCAGATCCCCCCTTGTCATCCCTAACTCATGCGAGGTGAGGCCCGAGATCTCCGTGACGCTGGCGGTGGGAGAATAGGCGGAGGACGGGCACACAGCGAGCAGGGTCTAGAATGAAGTCGGGCGTGTCCCTCTACAGGGGGATCTCGCACGAAAAACCAAACATACTCAAAACATACCCCCCAAATGGGCACAACTTATCAAAAAAACTCCCCTCACTAGTTTCCAATAGTTTGGAATTGCCACCTGTAGGGGACAGGCCCGACTTACGTCTAGCAGAGGGGAGCCCCCAGGCGCTGCAAACTTTGGGAGTGAAGTTTCGCCGGGCACCCCGAGGGCTGCGGGGCTCGAGCTGCGCAGTCCGCACCTGGGCTGTCGCGTGGTCTGCCGCTCCTCCTCCTCCTCCTCCTCCTCCTCCTCCTCCTCCTCCTCCTCCTCCTCCTCCTCCTCCTCCTCCTCCCCCTCCCCCTCCTCCTCCTCCTCCTCCTCCTCCGCCTCCTCTCCTCCTCCTCCCTCCTCCTCCTCTCTCCTCTCTCCTCTTCCTCCTCCTCCTCCTCCTCCTCCTCCTCCTCCTCCTCCTCCTCCTCCTCCTGCAAACGCTCGGACGTCCGTTCCCTGTGTTTCTTTCGCCATCCTGCGTGGCTTCTCCGCAGGATGACCCAGGATGTTCCTGAAGAGTCCCCGCCGAGAAAAAGTGCACACGTGCGAGCGACACCGAGGCTGTGGCCACGGTACGGGAGGAGCGAAGGGCCAGGCGGAAAGAGCAATGAGCGATGACAAATGTGCCAGGGGCGATGCGCCAAGAGGGACCAGCAAAGCACGAGCAAGGGAAAAACTCGATGAGCGGCGAGCACACAAATATTCCAATGGTATCGGCGCGTGGGGCATTCGTCGTGAAGCCGTTTCGGTGGCTCCGTTGGGGCTTCTAGGGTTCCCTGCCATCTTGGGGCGGTCCTGGACCGCCTTCGGGCCGTCTTGGGGCCATGTGGGTAACCCAATTGGCCGTATTGGGGGTCACTCGTGCAGTCTTGGGGGCCCGTTGGACAGTTTGGGTGGCGGGCGCTCTAGGGCGTTTTTGGGCCGTCTTGGCGCGCGCTGGGGGGCCTCCTGGGCCCTCTTGGACGTTCCACGGCCCGAAGGCGGGAGTGGACGAGCACCTTGGCAACATCGAAGAAGAAGCCATAATCCCACGAGCCCGTTTGTGCGTAGGTGGGCTAGCGATATTATTTCTGTCCTCTTCCAAAAGCCCCGTTTCCCCTTCGGGGAGGGTTTACCCCTCCCCTACCCCCTCCTCTGGACTTGTTCGGGGGGGTTAGCGGGTGGCTGGAGGGCCCTGTTTCGCTCAAGATGGCTCCAAGAGGGCCTCCGATGTTCCAAGATGGCCTCCAAGATGCCTCAAGATAGCCGAAATTGGTCTAAAACAGCTTCCGACATGCCTCCAAGAGGCCCCAAGATGGCCACAAGACGGTTGACCGTGCTCCTGGAGATCCTTCAGGACCCTTCCAAGAGCCCTAATCCTTCAAACACCTAAAGAACATTGATGGTGTTTGCCTTCTCGCCGTTTCGCTTCCGATCCGCTTTGGGAGCCTCAAGATGCCCCCCTGGCCCAAGAAGGCCCCAAGAAGGGCCCAATATGCCCCTAAGGCGGCCCAAGAACGTCCAAGAGCGCCCCAAGAGGGCTCCAAGAGCGCCCCGAGAGGCGGTTCAGGGCCCCAGAGGGGGGGTGGCTAGATCGGGAGCCCCCCTCGTTTGACCGAAAGCCTCGAAGATGGCCCCAAGAGGAGCTCCAGGGCCTCCAAGAGACCCCAAGGCAGCCCCTCTTGGGGCCTAAGATGGTCCCAAAAGGGCCCCAATAGGCCCCAAGAGGCCCCCGAGCGGCCTCAGCGAGCCCAAGATGACCTCCAAGATGGCTCAGATAGCCCAAGCTGGCTCAAGATGGCGCACAAGATGCTCCAAACGGCCCCAACACCGCTCCAAGAGCGCTCCAACAGAGCCCCAAGAAGCGGTTTGCGGGCTGCTGAGGGGGGAACTGAGGGGGACCCCACCCCATCCTGTAATCGATGGCATCCAAGATGATCCCAAGACGCCTTCCAGGGGTACCAAGAGGGTTCCAAGAAAAAACCCCAAACTCCCAGAGAGCACAAGCAGCAGCAGCCTCAAAAGTACCTCTAGATGGTTCCATGAGTCCTCGCCCGCGTCGTCCTCATCTTAGTCCTCGTCCTCCTCGTCCTCGTCCTCATCCGCGCCCTCGTCCTCCTCGGCCTCCTTGTCCTCATCCTCCTCCCCCTCCTCACCCTCATCATCTTCCCCTCGCCCCCCACAAGGCCCCCAGGGATGGCCCGAAGAGGCCTTCCAAGGCCACCCCCTTACTCCCAGAGATCTCTCGGTTTACCCTGGTTGCTCGCTGTGTTTCCCTAGATGCGTCTTTTCGTCACTTTTCCCGTCAGCTCTCATGGCAGGGCTTCTGAATGGGCTGGTGGGGATACCTCTTTGATCGCGAGCGCATCGGAAGTGCCGAACGCCGTCCAAAAGTCGTAACAAACAAGGCCGGTGGGGACACTCTTTGATCGCGAGCGACGCAGGCAGCTGCGCGCCGTCAAGGTAGTCAGACGACAGGCCAACCTAACAGGACAGGCGAAAAAGGGCCACAACGGTGGCGAGAACTCCCGGCGGAGGTAACGCTGGTGGGGATACGCGGAGCGTGAAGAATTGCTGATCCTAGAGGCTCTCTCGGGGGTCTTCTCGGAGCGGTCTCTGTCCAAGCCTAGGGGCGTGTTGAGATGCTCTGGGGCCGTCGGGGCGCAACTTTGGGCCGTCGACGGGAGCTTTTGGGCCGTCCTGCGGCCCTCGTGGGCCGTCCCTAGGCCCGCTCCCACCGCCTCCCCCCGTACATCTCGCACGCGTCGCGACCTGAATTGC